TGGCAATCAGTGTTTGTCCCACAAGCCAATTTCTTTCACACTTGCCTCCACCTATGCTGCCACACCAGTATAAATTATCAGGATGATATTTTGTAAACTATATCTCAGAATGGCATTTCTACATAAGGGAATGGAAACCTAATGGGAAAATATTTATAGCATATTTATATTAAAGAGGTCTGCAAAATAAAGGAAAATCTTTAAATGTCGGTGACAGAATGATTTAGACTCAATTTAAATGATTTTTTTTTGTAAGTGGATACATTTATATTTTCATTTAACTGAAAATATATTATTTTGAAATTCATGTGAAAGTTATGAGCCGGTTTACCTAACTAATCTAGCTTTAGAACTAAAATGTAGAAATGTTTTGTTATTTGTATTTAAAATGTCATTGTCAATACTAAATAACATGAATTTGATAATGGATTATAGCTATTTTTGTAGAAGATTGTTGTAACTTTTGCCACAGAAACCATGAAACGAGATTATTTTGACCTTTTGTTGTTCATGACATCACCCCTACCCGTTGTTAGAAAATAAACACCTAAATGGCATTTTATCATTAAGTTGGCTACATAGTACAACTCCAAGGTTAAAACTTACATCTCGAAAATATCTTCACAGATGTCACCTGAAGTTTCTGCTTTACCTGTGGAAGCACTGTACAGAGAGGGTGGAAGCAAGGGGTAAGTAAAACACTGGTTTATGTTATACATTAACACATGTCAGTATTAGCTGCTGATAGGTAGATCAGAGGAATATAATTGAAAAACTGCCAGAAAGATTGAGAGTAAAAAGCAAGACCTGGTTTTGTAACCTGTGTCTCTATCTGGGTAAATATAATTTGGACTGGTTTAGTGGAAAAAAATTAAACTTTATACATCTGTGCAGTAATGGCACATGCTGGCTCCCAGCCCCCTGCTGCATGTCTACAGGCACGCTTTGTATTAGAAAAACCCTTCCTCCCCATGGGAACAGTCAAGGTCTAATCACATTTTCATTACAAGATTGCATGTTTTACGTCCTTTCAGTCCTAGTCCTAAGCATTTTGTGCAACTGGTACTGAGAGAACTGTTTGACTAGGAATTTTATTGCTTTATGGGTTATTTTCCCCCCACAGATTGATAAAACTGATTCCACATAATTTATTAAATATCAAATAAGTATTAAGTTAGCTGGTAATTTGCAGTGATAGTTATACAATACTTAATGATACTTAAATCTCGTATGTCTAAGACATTACAATTGCTAAGAAAAAAATGAGAACACAGGTAAAATATATTAGCAAACTCAACTTGGCTATTCAGAAGGAACTTGAAAGCAGAGCTCAATTTATTAACTTAAGTATTTGGAGGACCTTTGTCACAGGTTGGTCACAATAATTGTCAGCAATAAATTTTTTGGTTGTCAACAAGCAGCAAGGCCTCCAGGGATCTATTACAGAAGGGAGGGTACTATGCTGTATTTCAGTGCATCTCTGTATCTGTTTGTGTTATTAATATCATTGTATTTTGACTGGTTTGTGGTTTAACAGATTTAAACTTTTGAGAGCTCAAATTAGGGTGTTTGTAAAAAAGTTTTCAGCAAATCAAACAACTTGGCTGATTTGGACCATTGGTTGCCTTGCTAGGGATACAAATATAAGAAGAAAAGATCATCAAAAAAAGGTGCACCAGCTGAAAAATAGCTATCAGTTCTCTCAAAGCTCCTTTTGAAAAGTAGAAAACAGCTCTGAAAGTGGAATATATGTCAAATTGTTGTGGTTTTAAGCATGTCCGCCCATCAGCAGTAGCTTAGGCAAAGAGTCCTGTGATACTTTCCAAACAACCCTTTGCATGTCACTCACCCCAATCTTACTCAAACAGTTGGTGTGGAAGTGGGTTGTACAGTCAATTTAAAAGATGGCCATTAAGAAATGTGATTGTTAAGTTACCATATTTTCAAGAAACCTACGCAAGTCTGGCCAGAAATACATGAAGGCTTTTTCATACAAAATCTGACCAAGAAAAAATTATTCCTAAGTTATGAATTGTAAAATGGAACAATGAACATTGTGTATGAAATAGGATCTTGTCCAAAGTAAAAAATATTTGTGGAGCTGGATATGGATATAATTTTTGTTCCAGTTCTATACTGTCTCTACACCTATCACATTTCTCCTACCTATCCTGTGACAGGATGCATTTACTTTATGTCTTAGACTTGGCTGGTTGTTTTTTAAAACAAACAAACAAAAAACCCCAAACAACAAAAAAAACCCAAAAACCCCCCATGGTTCTTCAAGAAATTTACACTCCAAATGAAGCCACCATAGGACATGAAAATAACAAACAAATGGGAGGGTAGGAAATTAGGAACAGGAGGTAAAATAAATAAAAATATAGAGGCAGAACTCCAGCTGCTGGAAATTAGCGTAATTCTATTGAAGCCTGTGCAATTACACTCACTGAGCAATTGCTTCATTATTTTTATTTATTTTACCCTTTGTTCCCTCTTGTTGTTGGAGCTTTGAGTTAAGTGAGCTGAATTAACATCAGCTGAAGTGCAGTTCTAATGTGCATTCTGTTATGTATCTGCAAGGAGCAGGAAGGGGCAGAGTGGGAAGCTTCTGAAGAGGTCTTTCAGAGAGGAGCCACCATCTATGTAGGCTATGATTATGCATACTCTCATGTTTGGTCTGTTTTTTAGTCCTTTTCTTTTTTTTGCCCTATACAAGTCACCCCAGCAAAGGAGGCTCATTGCTGGTGTAGGTGCAGAGGGGAAGGTGAATGAGCCATCAAATAAGTTATCAGCAGGGATGGTGTAGTCATATCCACACTACATAAAAATGCAGAAATCAAGTGCCTTTCCCTTCCACTTTTGTTTTCCAGCCTGTCCTCAACCCTTTCTGCACTGAGCATGAAAGCAGGACTCAAATGTACACCACTGTGACTGCAGGGAGATCACCATCAGGAGATCACCAAGAGGGCAGGGAAGATGAACCCAGACATGAGGGGTGGCAGCTGAGTAAATCATCACTATGGTAGGGAAATAATGATAGGAGTATGACAGCAAAGTTACAGTTTGTAATAAACGAAGTTTTTGACTGAGTTGGTTGCAACAAGTTTAAGGTAATGATGTGTTTTTGGGTTTTTTTATATAATGACTGTGCTAATTTTAACTTAGAAAGCAAAATCTATCCTTTTTATTAGAGCTTTTGAAATTAAATTTTCAGAGCAAATGGCATTTCTTATCCAGATTTTATTTCCTTTAGTTGTTACACAGTTAATCTCTCCTGAACCAGACTTGAGCCATTGCTTCTTCAATGCTTAAATATATATAGGTTTGTACAACCTTACTCACAAATACATTAAAAGAACATTAATCTGTGAAGTTCTGCGAAGCAAGGAGTGCTAACACTAAGTGGATTTGCAGTTCTAATTCATCTGCCTTTTGCATTAAGGTACAGTCTGTAATTGCATGTTCACACTTACTCTAGGCAGTTTTGTACTATTTCTTCTTTCTTTTCATTATTCACTGCAGAGTCGTTTCTGTCTTTAAGGCTTGAATTAAATGTGGAATTATACATTTACTTTTGGCCTTATTTAGGACATTTATCAATGTACCAGCAAAGTACCTGGAGAATATTAAGGCGTTTATCTCCTTTTGACACACAGGACTGTTATTTCCATCTTACAGAGAGAGAGCTGTAAGAGAGGGAAAGAGGTGTTTAATGATATCAAGGCAGACCTAACATGTTTAAAAAAAAAAACCAAACAAACAAAAACCCACGAAAACAAAAACAAACAAACAACAAACCAAAACAAAAACAAAATAACCAACCAAACAAAAAACCAAAACCAACCAAACAAAAAAAGAGGCTTAGAGGGCAGAGTATCCTAAATTCAGGATTGATCTTCATTCCTTGGGATGAAACAGCTTTTCATGGAGGTGGCTGTTTTTAAGTAGGAAAAAAGCAACTCAGTCTGCACAAAATGCCATTCTCTGTAAATGTAACAATTTCACTGTACAATACTCTGAGGGATTTGGCCATGAAGAATTTTTGCATAGATGTCAACCATCTGAGCTGCAAAGCTGCCCTTTCTAAGTCTCAGTCTCAAGGGATGTGGCTGTTTTTGAGGTTGGTTGTGAGATGGAGGAGCTTGTTTTCTGCCTACTGAGGAACACTAGAAATTGTGTGGACTTCCTGATTGAGGTCACAGCCCCAAAAGATTGGAGCTTTTTATTCAATCCAAATCAAATTTCACAGTGGAAGGGAAAGTCACTTTTGTGACCTGTTGACTCTTTCCATGCCAAATATTAAAAGGATTACTGCAAACAATGAAGGTGTTGAACTTGAAATAATTTTGTATGACATGAAGTACAAGGTAACACAGATATAAAGGGGTATTTTAACTACTAAACCAAGTTTTACCAAATATGTTTTCAGCTATTTGTGTTGTATTAGCCCTTACTTGATATCAGATGCCTAATTCAAAATGTATTTCACTATCAGAACAAAAAAAAAACCAACAAATTTTTTTTAATGAAGAATTCTATAAACGTAAAGCCAGACAGTTTTTCTCACTAATTTAATTGTATGATCTAATAGTCTTTTTGACTCTTCAGGTATTTGATTAAGTAGGTAATAAACAGGTATTTATTTTAAGCATCAAACTTACAGATTTGGAAAAGAAAAACCAAACAAAAGGATACCCTGGTACAGTAATGAATGTTATTTGGTGAAGTTTCAACTCATGTTGAAATATTAATTTTAAAAATCCCTTATTGAACATCCTCTCTCGACATTTTTTATTCCTAATGGTCTTCTTGTGTTTCTCAACCTGACTTCTCTGTGAGGAGATGAGTATTGGAAATCGTATCACTGGTAGATGATTCAGATTTTTCATTTTTCATTTAGCATTACAGGTAGAATTATGGTCAGATACTTTTATTGCCTCCATGACAAAGGAAAGAGATTTTTATTACATTTTCTTTCCCTGTGTTTATCTCTTGCAGATAAAACCACCAACTTGATTGCACATGTGATAATACAATAAAATTAAACAACAAATAGTAGCTATCACTATTGTGATGATTATCAAGATAGCCTACTAGCAGGTAAGGAAAAAAAAGGTGCCTTAATTATTGAAAAACAAAACACTGAACTTTACTCTGAACACATGGATCCCATTCACATTATTTTTGTGTTCTGTTGAAAACTGTAATTTTATCCAATGTGTACTAATGAGATAGAAATACATATTCTAAATAGTAAAGCAGGTGGAGCAATGGGTTTTCTAAATGTGTGGCACAAAATAGAGAGGAGAGGGTGCAGTGGTCATAACCATAGAAGCACAGAATGGTGAAGGTTGGAAAAGACCTCTAAGATTGAGTCCAACCATAAATCTGAGGCTTTGGTGAGGAATGGAGTGGCAGATAGAGAGAAAAGGTGAGGGAAAAGGCCCAGGAGAGAGCTCAGGAAGGGAAGGGGAAAGCTGTTATCTGATTATTATTGGTATATGTGTCCTTTTACTTCAAAGCCCTTTTTGAAGCTTGCAGTGATTTTTCATGGACCGGTGGCTGCAATCAATGACAGTCTTGTGCTTCTGTAGGAGATTTTCTTTCGTAGCAATGTGGCATGACAAAACACCCAGTGGGAAAATGGTACCGGAGAGCCAAGTGTCAGCAACAACAGTGATCTGTTTTCATCCAAGATCTGCAACTCCTACTTCTTGCAGCCAAACAGTGAGCTTCCCTAATTGCTAACATGCTCCGGTAGCTGTGAGGAGCGTGCCAGCAGTGAAACCCTACCTGTGATCTGAAAGAGATAAAGTGTAACTGAGCAAATGTCTGAAGTCAAACTTTAGGAATTCTAGTAAAACCAGGTGAAAACGAAGCAAAGATGAAGTTAGAACTAATGGGAAATTGTGCCTAACCTCAAACAGAACCTGAAAATGTATTTGTTCTCTCTCAAAAACAGAGGTATGCGGAGGAGTCCTCCATGCCCACCCCTTATTAGCTGTGTTATTTTTTAATCAAACTTACAAGTAAGTGTTAGTCTTCCTGATTCAGCCTGGGAATTGGGAGAGTTAGACTTTGATTCTTGGTGCAGAGTTATTTTAAAATCCCCTGAGGCTCTGGGTAAGGAACATGCAGTAAATCTGATGAGCAGGATTCATGGAGCAGCTGCAGAAAACCACACTGCAGGCTTGGTGAGCCTCGTATCCTCACATACACAAAAAGCAGACCTCATTTTATACTTGGATAAGTTGTGTGGGTACCTGGAGCATCGATCTAGCCAGGACCAAATCCTGCCCATTGCTTTGTGTCAGTGGGAAAAACAATGTTCTGTAAAACTTAATATTAGTTCTCACATGAAACTAAGATTTCCCTAATTCCCTGTCACGGTACAGGTTGGATCATGTTCTGAGACTTATAGCTTCTTTTATAAGTCTAGCAAAGTATGGTTTTCTCGTTCAATATGATAGTGACTCTTCCTGATATCTTATAACTGTCCAGTTTTTTCTGGAATGGTAATAAATTCTTAGCTTTGATGCTATCTTGCTACAAAGAAAGGCTAGTTGTGTGCTGCATTGAGAAGTGTTTACTTTTGTCTGTAAAGCTACATAATAAAGGCAGGCTAATAAAGTTCTGTTTTCAAAATAGCTTGATTTGAAAAAAAAAGTTATTGGGTTTTTGGTTGATTTTGCTGTTTTATAGTCTGTAGGAAAATAGCTAAGAAAAATGTTATGGGAGCACATAGGGGAATTGCTTAGGAAATTTTATACCTTGAACCGTATTTTTAATGTATCAACCTCAAAACACAGAAAAAAACCCCTAGATTTATTGGTAGGTGTTGATATTTGAAACTCTAATTCCAGTTTTTCTTTGTTTGTCTCCTCCTGGGGCTCCTGGTAGCCCAGAACACGATTTGTGAACCATGTAGCTTCCCTGGGCAGGGATTAAAAGACCAGAGGTTTCATTAGCTGACTGCAGTTTATGGGGAACAATTTAGTTCTACTTTTTGGTGTTTCAGCTCAGAGCAGATCATTATAAGAGGAAGATCAGCTCCTATTGGCCTCTTCTTTACCTTTGCTGCCAGCATAGTGAAAACAGCAGTTATGTAAGGAAGGGAGTTGTCCCCTGTACATAAAATAAAGTTTGAATTATTGAAATTAAGTTTTCTCTTTCAAAAAACTGAATGTGTTATTGAGTAGCTTTCCTATATTTTTAATAATTAAACCTCACAGAATTGTCCTCAATAATATTAAACTGTAGCATTATTTTTATAATGAAGTGGCAAAACCCACTTTCAATATAACTTTTATTAACTTTTTTTTTTTAAACTTAGAGATCTGATAGTCCTAAGGGTGCTTGCCTAGCTCACAGTTAGGTCAATGCAAATGATAAATGTATATTACTTGTAAAGGATAAAATTAAAGTTATTTTTCATTTCATGAGGAAGACTTGTATGGCTTTCTCCAACTGATACAGTTACAGACATAAATTCTTGAGAACAAATAGAGAAGAGCACGCTTCCTAATACCTACCTATGTTGTACTCTAAATTCCCTTAAATTCTCAAATACTTTATAACTTTAACAGAGTTAACTTTATAACACAGGAAGCTTTCATATTTGCTAATACATTTCTCATCACATTAATGAGATAACTGCAGAATGAGTTGAGTTCTGAGGGAAACTGTCTATGTGATGCATATCAGAGCTGTTTCCATGATGCAAAGGTAGTTGTGTATTAAAATATAGCATGTCTCCCGAGAAAGGCTTTTACTAGGGTAGCTGGTTTCATGAAGCAACAAAAAGTTTGGATAATTTCAGAGCTGTATTTCTTGTATTAATGACATTTGGCAACAATACGTGCTCCAGAAAATTTTATACAAGGTAAGGTTTGGCTGGTGAGCTCTGCCTTTCTGTCTGATGTAAGCATATTTATTCGATGGATTAATTATTTATGGTGTAGCCTTTCTATAAAACTACTGTTGTATTTCTATTTACTGGTTTTAAAACACTGGCTATGTGGGTGGGCAAAGTGATACTGCAGTGTTTGCCTCCTGTGCCAGCTGGCCACCTAAATGTCTGACTGTGTGTGTTCAACTTTGTTCAGTTGTCACATGACATGAAGCAGGGCTGTGACCCCGGTGACACTCCTGCTTGTAAATGTAAGCTCAGCCATAAAAATTGCTGTGATTCCGTCAACAGTAGGTTCCTCTGTGATGTTTTCTGAACTCCTCTGTTTGCTGAAACTGGTAGAAATAAAGTTTTTTTGCATCTAGAAAAGTAGAATTAATTTGAAACGGGACCAAAAGTTGTCATGGTTAGACCTCAATGTAAAGATTTTTAAAATATGTTTTGCTTATAGGCAACCAAAAGAGATTACAACTATTGTAAAATTATGGTGTTTTTTTTTTGGTTTTTTTTTTTTTTTTTTTCAACACCCCAGGTCTCCTTTCAGGTTTCAAATGCTTTTTAGTGGTACACAGAAATACAGAGTTTTGGGGGTTCTTCTTGCTTAGTGGAATAATCTATGTTAGGCTTCTGCTGAAATTCTGCCAGTGGGAGAGAGCAAACACTGCAGTGTGTCAGACCACATCTTTACATTGAGCCCTAAAGCTGTGTTTCCAAGAATTACTTTTACTGGTGTTATCTCCTTGTTTCTGTGAACATTTGGAGCTCACCATCAAGACAGTGACATGGCTCTCTGCAGAATGCAACAGATAAAGAACTAGAGGACAGGAAATGGAATGGGCTTTCTGAGGAACTGCCACTGCACACTTGGCTTGTCCAGATACTCTTTCGTAACCATTTGGTATTGGGCACTACCAGGGAGTAGTTGCACTTTTCATACAACCCTGAAAAAATATATTTTATGAAGAGTGAAGTAATATTGACCAGTGGAAGTACATTTTGTGACCAGATGTTAATAAGAACTGTACAGAGAGAGAGAACAACACATTGGCAAGTGTTTTCAAACACTGATGTTCTTCAGAGATACTGCAGAAACAGATAAGATACTAGTAACTCCTAAGAGCAGATTTTTGGGAATGTAATTCTGTTTTGCCAAGTAACATAATGCTTATGACTCATCAGAGCCCTCAGGATGGTTCCACACAACAAGCAAAATGAGGACCTTAGTGCTGCCACCCTTGCTCCCGCTGCTTCAGCTTCCTGGAGAAGGTCTCCAGCAGCAGCACTGGGAGACCAGCAGAAAGCAAAATCATGGGGAGCTAGGGGAAGCATGGGATAAAATGCAAAGAGGTACCAACAGAAAATTTCTCTGTTCTACTGGCACTTGCACAGGATGAGCCTTCCAAAGGACTTCATGATATCCTGCTGAAACCAAAACTGAATTCACCTAGTGGGCTTTTGAAAATTTAACACTTTTCATTTGACTAGAGGCTATAAGAATTAGTTCAAAATAAGCATTCCCCTATTCCATTTTCCCTTCCCTTTCATTACTTTCCTTTCTTTATTTCCCTTCTTTTCAATCATCCCAGGGATGAATGAGGTGGCAGAAACTGCCTTTCTGTAAAGCTCATCTTTGACTTCAGCCCCACTTTCTGTTGCAGGCTGCTCCTGATAAACTGATTGCACACCAGGACCTGGCTTCTTGTGTGGGTGATGGAATTGCAGGATGGCTGGTTTGGAAACTCTGCTGTTGTTTACAAAACTTCCCTCTTATCTCTGCTAGTCATGTGAGTTAGTTACAATTAAATGGCTCTGACTGGTTGCCCCAGCCCCAAACTATTTCTGACTGTTTGATTCCAAATAAAATAGACAGCAGGCATGAGGCATTTATTTTCTGATAATAATACAGAATTAAAAGAAAACAAACCCTGAACAATCTAGAAATCATGTCTCAATTTTGCAGTGTAATAAAAATTGAAAAAATAATCTGGAAAAATTCAGGAAAAATATGTTCAAGTTAAAATAAAGTATCATACAGTTATATAAGACCTCGGGGTTCCTTGAGTAAAAAATAATGGTATTTATCAAAGAAACATTTCACTTTATTTTCCTTGTGCGTTTGATTCTCTGCCTTTGCTGTAACACAGCTTTCTGTTCCATTCACAAAGTCCACGAGGTGTGACTGAAGGTAACCGAGCTCATTTCACTGATTTCAGGGGACTGAGTCAAGGGAATAAGGACTGAATCCTTAAAGTCTTTAAAGATGGTCAGGAATAGTTTATGCCATCTGAGGTTGTGCTTGTTCCCAGTTGGTGCACCAAATAGAGGATGTTCATTTTCTTACACTTTTCCTCGTTTAGTCACACAGTATTTATGCAAAGAATTACAGGTCTTTCTCATTAAACTTAGTTTTACTTACATCACAAAAGAATTCCTGTTCTTGTTTGAAGTGTTTTTAACAAATGTTTTTTACTTTTTATTCCTAAAATCAGTGGAGAAGCTTTCCTTCTGTATTGGTCCTAAGAAGTAAGGGATGTACAGTGCACTGCATAACAGGTATTCCTATTTATACTTATATATTTTTAAATATATATATATTTATACTTATATATTGCAGCAAATAATCAGTGAAAGAATATTTCTGGAGAAGCCTAGATATTGGGGATCCCCTATATTTCCTCTTTCTATACCTGAATCTGATTGTTGCTATATGAACATATTAAAGAACTGATGCATCTGTGTGCTGATTTCTTTGCACACTTGTGTACAAATTGTACCAAGACATATAAAAATGTGTAAACTATTTGGAAAGAAAGAAAATTCCCATCCTGGAGAGGTCTGTTACTGTTCTCTTTTCGCAGGAGTAATAGCAGAGAAAACTCCAAGTCTTTCTTTAAGTTGTAATCAGTGTCTCAGGGTCGTGTAGACCTGAGTGACAGAATTTTGATGTTTATTCAACCAGATCTTTCTCTCTTTTCTGCATCTTATGGCCTTTGCTTTATTTTACTTGTGCTTTCTGTTTCCCTTTTTGGGGAGAATACCAGACCTAGGCAAGATCCTGACTAGGCAAGATGATTCCTCATCTCTTCTTTATGCCCCCCATTTCCCTTCCCTGCCCTTCCCAGCTCACTTTCCATCGCAGGACAGGCTGCCACACTTTTGTCCCACGGGCAGTTTGGTTTATGTCAGTTCAGTGTCAGATTTGGGCAATCAGCATGTGACATTCCGGCGGTGTCTGTGGATTGATGGTGACTGGCTAAGGCTGTGGTAATGTGTTTCTCATCTGTTGGTCCTTTCAGACCCTGCTGCAAGAGCTTAGGTCCTCATCTCAATTAGTCACAGCGATTCTAAACATTTGGAGCTGGCTGATGATTACTGTGGTATCAGAGATGGGGGCAGCTCCTGGGTGAATGCTGGGGTCTTGTGGGGCTGCTGTGCATGTCTTTAAACTCCTTTTGGTCATTTGACATGGAGCAGTGAGTGAACGCAGTGCAGCCAGGAAAAAAAACCTAAATGTCTATCCAGCTTCAGTAAGTTTAGGGTCTCCTCCATAACTTAAATGCTCCTTCACATTAGGTGATACATCCTACACACTTTTGAAATGATTCTTTCTTTCCCTACTTGAAGTCTGGCTCTGTTCTGTCACTCAGATTTTGATGTGGATTAATCACTAATATCTAACTCCTGATAAGTTTAAGTACAGACAATAGAACCATTTAGCTGCATTGTTTCCCAGTGTTACCACTGGGCTGTTATTCCATTTTTGATTTCTGTTACTTAAAGATGCGAATGCCTGGTCAGATTGCTGTGGAATCAAAAATATACTAATTGAACATGTATTTCAGGGCAGGTTCTACTTGCATTTCTTCACATGACCTCGTCCTCATTGTTTAGCATTACCTGCATTCTGCTGCTGAGTAATGATCCATCTTCTGTGTCTGGTACACTTAGTCTTCACTATATGAGGTTTCTGAAATCTTTTGAGACAAAAAAGCAGCAAGTAAGCATGAATATATTCAGGCATTTGAAATGAGACATGGATTTTCACTATGTATTCACGGGAGTAAAATTACTAAATTGAAAGATGAATATAGCTGAAATGATAAGGAAAAGATTATAAATGTGGCACTTGGTGTGCTGTGAAGGAGATGTGTTCCTAAAGAGATTAAGGAAATCTCTGTCACTCCAGAGATTGCAGAGAACCAGGCATTTCATTCTGGACCTCACAAGTTCTGTAAAATTACAGATTTAATAAACAAACCATTTTATGTCTCTGTAAGGAACTTAGAGGGGATTTCGAAAGTCAAACACTGAAGACCCTTGCTTTGACTGTGGTGGTAAAAGTAACATCTGCCTCAGACATTTTAACAACAGACTGTTCAGATCATTCTTTTCAGCTCTGGTAGGAGACTTGACAGACATAAGCCATCCTACCCCTCTTTTCTACACTTCTATCTCTCAGCTAAACTAAACATTACATCAAAGCACTCCTATCAAGGACATTCAGATTTAATTTTACCTTTCTATTTTAGATGTTCAGTTCATTACAATAACTTTTGTGGTTTCCTAATTAAAACAATAACACAGAAATAAAAGGAAAACCAGTAATTTTTATGGTCACATCCCTGGGATGCCACAAAATCTTTTTTGTTCTCCAAATCTGAGACAAAAGACCTGACTCAAATTTCTGCCCCACACTCATGTACATTTACCAGTACCAGGACCCACGAGAAGTGACTCTGAGTGCTGCCCATAAGTAATTTATCCCAGCAGTGCTGATGTGTGTGCTCTGCCCAGTATTAACCCACCACCAGAGATCTGTAAATTCTTTCACGTTTGCTTGGTGTCCTTGGTGCCAGGCATGTTTTTTAGTGATTGTAGGATTCCTATGATTTGTAAAATGTTACAGGAGCATTAGCTTTGTCTCGTGCTTTCAGTTTAAACTTTCGTGTAGGTGCTTGTTTAAAGATTTCGAGTTCACAGTTGCAAGAGTTTTTGAAAGCTCTACTCCACAAGATTTATTTTCCTCAGGGAAGTTAAAAGGAAACTCTCAGACAAGGCACTCAAAAAAGCAAAACCAAACAAGGAAAAGACAGAAACAGCTTGAGGAGCATTGAAAACTTTGGTTTAGTATGGAGAGATAATAAACAATAGCTTTCAGGGTCTTATCATGATGTATTGTCTCTATTTCAACACATGGTCTTTGTAAAGTGGACAAAACTGGTTTTATTAAAACATCAATGACAACGAAAAATGCATTTCCCCAAATCATCTCTTCTCCTTGTCAGAATTCATTTTGCCTGGCAGGTGTAGTCCATTTACTGCAACAAAAGGTGAAAGGTTTGATGTTGTGATTGTGGAATCTCAGGGGGACAACACTCAGCTGAACACTCAGTCCCCTCTGTGCAAGCCCAAGAAAGTTTTCTGTGTAACCTGTTTCCCAGATTTCCTATGCATCCACGACTTTATTTAGCATTATGGTGGCTCATGGCCCTTTCTCATGTGGAAAATATCTACTCCATCACAAAGAGGTGAAGTAAAGAGTTCCTTTGGTGGTTGTGAACGAACTTTTAAACCTTGGGTTGCCCAAAGTTATTAGTGATATTGTTTCCAAGTTCCAGGGCATATATTTAGTGAAACATCAAGAATTTAGTCCAAGAAAATGAATAATTATGGCTCTAAATTAGTGCAGAAAAGCCACCATAGCAGTTAATTTAAACTGGGATCACAAAAAGCCCTTCATGGCCAGCAAGAGATTGCCTACAGATGCAGAGGATGTTAAGCCAATGAGGGTGATAACTTTTTAATATGATTCCACTCTGGAACTTAGGTTCCCTGTACTGGATCCCAAAACTGTTTTCTGATCTTAAACTCCTCTTTAAAATATCTCAGTAGCATATAGACTCTTCCTTCTTAAGAACTTGAACCGAGTGACACTGTGCTGGATGATCTACCTAATGGTTAGTGCATTTATTCAGGAGGCAGAGATCCAGTTTGATGTTGAACTGCTGCACTGCAGGAGCTCCCACCACTTGTTCTTGTGCTCCTGGATTGATGGTCCTCATGGAAGAGCTTCACAGCTCCCTACTTCCCTGACCAGTAGCTGGCACTGTGACAGCTGTGCCTTCTGTGCCCTTCTCCTCTTCCCGTTCCCATCTCTTAGTCTAAATTTGAAGTACAGGTACTTTATTCTACTCCTCCATACTCTCCCAGATGATGTAATTACTGTCATGTGCATTCAGTCCCCCCAGTTTCTTGGAATGACATCTTTTGCAGGCATCCATTCTCAGGACATTGGAGCTGATCCCCTCGTTTTCTCATCAGGCTCACATCCAACCCTCATAACAAAAGGTAGGCAATCTGCATGCCACTGTTTCACCTTGTTGAGGCTCCCAACTCCCTCTACCTCCAAACTCAAGAATAAGAGGAAGCTGAGAACAAGCCATCACTTTCCAGCTCTGCCTGTAAGCCTATAAATCTGTATTGGCTGGTATGTCAGAAGAATTTGAAAACTTTGAAAAACCAAGTGTTAGCTATTTTACATGAAAATCATTGAAACAGATAATACCAGGTTTTCTTTCAGACTGTAGTTATTGTAATTATCTGGCAAATTTTGAAATATTGTCCTGTTGAGAAAAAAGATAGTAGTTTGATTGCAATGGTTACAACTGAATAGCCATGGGATTGCTTATTCTGGACATGTATGAATCCTTATTGTCCCAATCCAACTTGAACCTGGAATCCGCTATTTTCCTTATATTTACACCCACTGTATTTCTTGAATGTATCGAAAGTCTTCTTCCTGTTCTTTCCATAGCCCCTTCACCAAATTGATTTTTATATTTACTGCTTTCGTTCCTGAGTGCTTCTGTGCTTTCTGCATACAGGTAAGGAAATGGTTGTATGTGAAAGATGGAGATACGAAGAAGCCAGCCTAGGAGAAATTGGTAAAAGCATTTATAGCTGGATGCTTACTTCACCATCTGGGTAAAATGGCTTTTCTGCTGGGACTGCTGAGCATGCCTGCCTCTTGTTCACTTTGAAATACTTCTGTGTTCACTCATCAGTCGGACTCATTAGTTGACATGAAGTCAGAGAGGAGTGAAATGCTTTCATATGTTAAGTGATTCATACAGTTTACTTGTTCTCAGAATCACTGACTCTGGAGAAAACTAGGTATTATTTCAGACCTCTCCCAGGTTATTCTATACAAGTGCTGCAAAGCCACAAGAAAAAATTTCTTAGTGACTCAAGAAGGTTTCTGGTGACATAAGCCTGCTGAGGGTTTTATGCTGGCCATCCTGACAGTGGTTTCTCTTCATACCACAGTTCCTCACATATATTCTTAGATCTGGAGGTGGGGGGGTCAGGACCAAATGACTCAAACAGCAGAGAGGAGATTTCAATCTGGCAAAGGATAATAAGGGACTTTCTCTGAAAAATGCTGATGTGTCATTTTATGCTACATCCCATAGTCTTAGTTCTTTATTTCATGCTTTCACACTTTTTTATTTCTGGCATATCCAGTGATCTTGGGACAATATTTTCTTTATGCAAATCTCCTTCTGTACAGAATATTAATCTCTGCCACTGGCATTGATGGACAAGGATTAAAGTTTCATTTTAAATACAAAGCTCTGACAGAGCACACCTAATGCTCTGCTGTATATAAAAGATAATTCCACTTAATGGCTTTTAGCTGGAAAAGTTGCAAACTCCAGGCATGCTAGTCTCTTCCATGGTGCTGGCTTAGGAACAACTGTGTAGGAATAGTTATCTTTCTTCTCAGCATACTGTAGTAACAGGTATTTTGGAGCAAGGTTGTTTAACCATGTTGGATTTTAATTTGAAACTAGAGTTTGTTATTACCTTAAAAGAAAGTAATTATTTGTTACCATAACCAAAATGAATCCCCTACAAACAGTAGCTGCCAGCTGGTACTGCGTTTTAAAACTCTTAAAAATTGAGATTTCCAATTATTTTGGCAAAAGCCCAGGAGAGTCTTATTTTTGTTATGTGCTACTCTGTTTGTGGGAATTCATATGGATGTATTTCATCTCCAGTAGAAAGTTACATTACATCACAGGTGTACAGCAGGCACAACCAGTAAAATAAAAATCAAAGCCTCACAGGCTTCAGGCATTGTCCATTTTTTATAGCTTCAGTGTTGGCAGTGTTGTATATTTTAAACCAGCATCAGACAAGATGTCCCCTTCTCTTGCATAGGAGGCAGTGACCAGTTTTAGCTGATGAGCACAGGTTGTCTCTTCTCCAATGTTCTCCCATGGAGGGAGGTGCTGCATCGCTGCACAGGTTAAAAGGGCAGTGGGAGTCAACCCAACAGGCTCATCTCCAACACCATCCAGCCAAGGCCCACGGAGAAATAAATCTCTGCACAAGGAGCAGATGCAGCCCTGGCGTTTCCTAAGAGGCTAAGGCTGTAAATCCAGCTCATTTCACCCTGGGAAAGGTCTGAGCACAATTTCTGCAAAAGGTTACAGCTATCTGATTATTTCCTAGCTCCAGAGTTAAGATAGGGAAAAGGGCTCCCCACTTCCAGTTTGTTGTCGTGAGAGGAAGGGCGTTACGTTGGTGATTTTTTATTTTCTGTACTCATTTCACCACTCCTCCCTCCTCTCAGTTTCCACACTGAATACCAAAAGGGAGGCAGGCATTAGCTTTCAACAGCTTTATAAAAACAAATCAGCATATATTATTTATAAAATGTTCAGTAAGGAACTGTAAATCAGCCAGAATTTTAAAAACTAGATTGACAGGGTACCTAGAGTTAGTGTTTGACTAAGTGCACAAAATTGGAATTAAAATTGCCTGTGAGTAGAAAAGAAACTTACGACATTTACTTGACTGCCAGCTAATTCATATGCAATGTTTACTTTTTCCAAATTTCTTGTTTTCTTTAAGTTTCCATTTATTGCTTCATTAACATGATCCACTTCCAGTGAAATAATTTAGGTCGAGAATGCCCAAACAAAGGGTTTTCAGGTATTGACAGGGTTTTAGTTTTTAACACAGTTCATATTTTTTAGCAAATCACATGAGAAAAAAAGCATGGCTCCTTTCTCCCAGGAAATGTCACACAAGTAACATAAGTGAGGCTCTAAAAGGAGCTGTGCTGTGTAAAAGAATATTTCCATCAGCCTTCACGGAGACCTCAGGCCTCAGAATCAAGGAGGCAAAGTCTATGAGTCAAGGAGAGCTGAAGGAAATGTTCATGTTGAAAAGGCTGTTCTAAGAAAAGTGTGCCTCCATCTCAGTGGGGTGGGGCCTGGGAACTGATAAGACCAGCAAGGAAAAAACAACCTCCAGAGTCTGGGGAGGAAAAGGGAAAGGAAGGGCAGGATTGGTGACTTTCACCTTTGGAAAACAGTGTGTTGAGATTGCATTGGACCAGGAAAGGAGAAAAGCAAAAATCCCTTTTCCTAGGCTTATCTGTGGGGTCAGTCAGGGATAGTGTCTCTCTTCCCGTGCTGGATAGAGGCCACTGGTACACCCTGTGCCTGGCACATAAAGCTGCTCCCAGAGCCCTGCAGCAGCATCCCTGGCTGACCTGTCCTTCCTGACACTATGTGTATAGATTCTATCCCAGCAGGGCACTATGAGGCTTTTTTCGTTAGGTGAGGATGTTCCAAAAGTTTTTCCATACAGTATACTCTTCCTGGTTTTGGATGACTGAGAATTAAGAGCATGGTTTCAAAGTCTGAATGCAGATTTGGAGTGAAGAATGTTATCAAACATAAGGGGCATTTACTGCAGTAGGTGAGTTTTGGCTAAAGGGCATGAGACATACCATTTAGATACACAACTCTTTAAAGTTTTGAGATCTACAGTGGAAAAGAAAATTAACTGAAAGAGTGAACGTTTGAGATATCTTTAAGCCAGTGTGTTGACCTGAAGCACTTGAGCAGTATTATATATATTATTTTAAACTGCTTAATTTCAAAATGCAGGAGCATAAAGCAACATGCCTATAATAAAAGAACCATGGCTGTATATATAAGTTAAGACAATAGAAAAGGGACTACTTCTTTGTATGTTGATAAAAACAAGTAGAACCTCATTCTGGCCAAACTCAGGTATGTTTTAATGAAAATCTTTTTGTAATTTCTCTCTCTCTTTTCCCTCCTCCTACAAAGAGCTTTGATCCCTACTCCGAATTTTACCCTCCTTCATTAACATGGCAGTGTGATCATTGTTCAATCTGACAGGGAACAGAGCCAAATCTGATCTAAAAATTTGATAAAAGTCTTGTAAAATATGTGATTTATCAACAGCTGCAGTGATTCTACAACAAACATGTTAGTGTATAGAGGACTGGGACACAAGTTTGTTTAAACAAACCCAATAAAGTTATCGTGGGAAACTGAAGGAAGTGGGTCACCATTTTCCTGATAATATTTACAACAGTCCATAGATAAGAGGACTGGAAAGAAGGCCCCTCTTTCTTCCATAGTTTATCACATGGCTAATACAGAAGGATGAATTGTTGTAGGATAAACTCTGATGTGATAACACCAGCTTTGTCACTCAGACTGTGTGTGCAAAAACATACATAATAGTGTGGAATTGGGGGCAAATACGTGATTTTTAGGATTCTGAAGCAAAGAAGTGGGAAGAATGATAAATTTATGTAACAAGTATTCTGAAGGCAGGAGGGGACCTGGGAACAAAGAGCTCTGTGCTCTAAGACCTGAGAAGTATTTGAAATAGTTCCTCTGGCTCAAACATGCAGAAGCATCAGGCAGTTGATTTCAAGGTGTGAAAAAAAGACTGCCCTGATGGCTCTGGACTTTGAAATGCTGTTCTTTACTCTGGTAAAATAGTAGCGTAGAAACCTTCTGCAGAAAAATGTTAACTTTAAGGAGAACTAGTTCTAGTACCAAATGTTAACTTTAAAGAGACTAGTTGTGCTGCCAGTAGCAAAAAGACTTACATTAACTCTGTTGATTTTCTCCTTCTTTTCACATACAGAGCTGTATTCAGAAGACTCAGGCCACATGCAGGAGTGAGCAGCAAGTACATCCCATCCACAGAGTATTTGGGAAGTCTAGGAACAATTTTAATGAAATCACAATAGCATCTAAGCTCATAAATACACTCCTGGCAACAAATCCTTACTTCCTAAATGGAAATGAGCTAATGGATGGTAAGTGGATGACTCCAGTTCCTTCTGGCTTCTAATCCTTTCCATGTTTCCATGGAAAGATGACATAAACTGTGCACATACCTTATTTTTGATTAGGTAAGTAAACAGGCACAGTTACTGATCAGCTTCGGTGGGTATCTCTTACAAAGACAATCTCAGAAGCTTCTAAGTTAATGATAGCAAAGGTTAATTAAGGATAGAAAGGCCTTGCTTCAACTTAATCTACCTATTATTCTGTGTTTCAGGAATGCTAATTCAGTCAGCTGGAGATAGAGAGATGGTACAATGAGCAATGCCGCATGGTGAAGGTGGAGGGTTTTGAACTGCAAATACAATTTTCTTTGGCTCCTCCAAATGGTGGTTCCAATAGCATATCCAGCTGGAGCATGCTGAGCAGCCCTTCTGGTGATTCTTCCCTTCCCACTCACGAAATGCCCCAGATTAAATAAGTTGGCAGCAATATCCTTCTTTCACTGAGTTTGGAGGGGTTTTATGGGCCCTTGGTCTTTACCAGTGGAAGTATACCAGAAACCAATTCAGCCAGCCCCATTACCCTCCTACCTCCAAAACCTCAGGCATTCCAGCCCCATGGAAAGCTGGGTAGTCACCTTTAAGGAGACAGAGACTCCACCTGAGCTGCATACCCCTTATATTTCTTTGAAAACTAGAACTGACGTTAGCAGTGTAGGGCCCCTCTTTAGATTTTTCAGCTGATCCCTCCAATTTGTGCAAATTCCAGACCTACAGAGACCAGTGGTAGCCTTTCCATGGGGAAGGACACTGATTCAGTTGCAAGGAACACATAGTGAAAAAGTTTGACGTGAAGCTTGCTTAGATTGACTCTTTGTTAACCCCTGTCTGCTGTATGTTTCCATGAGTCTCCACGTGGTTTTGATTTCAGGTTTTCAAAATATATTTTTTCTTCCTTCCCTGGCCTCCTTTGCAGGTCTTTGTTATGTAAAACAGAAAATATTTCCTGAGTTTATATCTTGTCAGTAGCTTGAAGTAGGGAAAGATCTTTTCAAAAAGCCCAGTGCATGTAGGAAGAGGAACTCATTTCTGATTGTTTTCGATGACAGGGTAGCTCTTCACTCGGCTTGTGGCCGAGAAAGTCTCACACTTTTGTCAGTGTTAATTGTTTTTCTTCATTGCTCTATTTCCTTATTTAAATCTTTAACCTGTGTTGGAGTTGCATCTCGTTAGCAGTGGCCGTACGTAACCCATGACAAAAACTTTGTGCAGACGTGGTTAGCGGTGTCAGACACCTCAGGGATGAGGAAGACCCACCTCCAAGCCTTCTTCTGGCCACTGGAAACCTCCTGACCACAGAGCCGAGTGCCCGCCCAGTCTAGAAGAAAATTTTCCTGACAGAGGAAAACTGTGTCATAAAAGAGACTTTATTTCTCTCGGCCGTCTCAGCTTTTGCGTGGAGCAGGGAATGTAGTGGGAAACCAGAAATCACCTTGGGCTGCTCCATACGAGCTATTCTTGGCTGTCAGAGATCTCCCTGTGGCTGCCCTTGGTCAGGCTGTGGCATAAAGTACTTCTTGAGTCATCCAGGGTTTGAGAAGCTAAGAAGTTTGTGTAAAGCCCACCATTTCCCCTCTGTTCCACATCGGAGTGGACCAGAAGTAATGGTGCCAGGTCGGTTTTTGGTGTCTGTTGGATCTCCAAGAGACACCTAAGTCAGAGATCCAGAATTTTCTGCTTTAGTGCTCGTGCATGACAATACATTTGGGGTCATTTTGTGGCTCCGTTTCGGTGTTGAAGAAAGCCTGAAGGAGTCTGTGGTGACCTGAAAGCTGCCCATGGCTGTGCTGCAGGGAGGAGAGGGGAAGCTAAGGTTTGGAAGAGAAAAAAAAAATAAAAAATGATGAAAGCAAACATGAGCCAAGACATAAAGTCTCATTTTGCTCCCATGTGCTAGTGCTTGAGCAGACTATTGTTCTGGACTAAGAGATTGGTTCTTAATTATGTCGAGCAGTGAATGGTTTGAATTACAGCCACATAGTTTGGTGAGCACAGAGCTGTTAAGAATTTTGGCTGGAGAGCAGCTGCAGGGCTGCTCTGAGCTCTCAGAAGGTGGCTGTAGCTGGAGGTGTTCTCCAGAGTTAGGAGGCATGCACGCTGCCACCTGAAGTCCCAGGCTTGAATGCTTTATCTAAATCTGCCCTTGTCTTTATTCTGCTATTTCAATCTAAAATAAAACATCTTGTATTTATTGTATCATCACATTTAGACACTACCATTTTGGAATCTCCTGTGGACATCATCAGATCCAGATGTTTCCAGATGTCATCATCCATACACTAAAATGATTACAAATGGAGATATATTTCTGTAAGCTGTTGTTACTCGGTGAAGATTGCCAGTTTCCACTGGCTTGGAGGAGACTTTTCTTTTTAACAGGGTAGGGATGGCCCCAAGTTCAATATTGCAGATTTTTAAATTACTCATATTGTTGTGTGAAGCACAAGTGGTTGCAGACTCTGTTCACTCATAAATTGGGACTGATTTCCTGCGAGGTTACTAATTTTACCATGTGTAGGATGATTTTAATATTGGGATTACACAATCTGATTACCTGTCTTTATCCGTAAAGAGTGTGATGTGAGTTCATTATGCTCTCTGATCAAGGTATTAAAAATACAATTCCTTTCCAAGGAAGAACTGTTTTTCCTTCAACACACTCTGTTTGCCTAAATTGTCTGACAACTGCTCTGGTATTTATATGTACTGTACACAGCTCTGTCTGGCTTCTGAATGAATACTACTGCCCTCTACTGCAGTGAATGTACTCTCCAGTCTAAATGTGCACAAAATATGGGGAAATGATTTCTATGGATGCCCAGACACAAGTAGAGATGCACCCAGCAGCTCAGAAGAGCCAAGGGTTTATGCTGACCTCTTGGATATTGCTGGGAGTGTCAGGGAAAGACTGAAGTTTCTGCAGCAGGGAAAAGAGAATATGTACCATGACGTGCTGTTATTGTGCCCTAATTAGTAAAGTCAGGCTTCATTTAAGATTTTTCCCATCTGTTTACTGACTTGGACATAGTAATAGCAAGTCAGAGATCCTAAATTCATGTCTTTGGCCATCAGAATGATATCACAGTGCTAAAATGTTAGGTACTTTGCTGGGCATGGCAATTCTGTGTTAGGTACTGTAGCTTTCGAACATAATAAACAAAGTTAGTTATGCACTCTGAGTATTTTCACTTGGATGAATACATCTTGCTCTTTATCTAAAAAAAAAAGAAGTAATTTTATTTCAGGAAACTGAATGGGAAATGGTAACGTATTTAGTAGATTTTATTTTTAAATTTTAAGAAGTGGTGCTTCAATTTTCTTGTGTGAAATGGAAGTTTAATTTAGTAGCCTAGCTAATGTTAAGAATTTCAGTACCTCGACATTTGAAATCTTTTTAATGGTTGAAAATTGAAAGTCAAAATAGATCCTGATAAAGTTAGTACGTACTTTTTTTTTTTAATTAGCACATGTTATATACTATCTCCAGTATATTTTCTTGTGGATCTGGTGATGAAGCTATGGTAAACCTGTGCTACTTCAATAACTGGAAAACTTTGCAATATAAGGAGCTGCCAGATTTCGAAGGCAACTGATCCTACTAAATTGGAAGAAATTGGAAATGGGGGGTAATTGTTATCACAATTACATGTGCTATAAAGATAGTGTTGTCATGAATACTTACTGCTAAGACATGCTCAATAAACTCTAGGCCCAGGGGACTCATGAAACTACTCTTTGTGAGAGGTCTTCATATTGTTAGTGGGCAAGGTATTAAAGCTCTTGGGGAGGAAGGGTTGTTGTTACTGAGAAAAATATTTCTTTCAGCATCACATGGATGTGATATGGTGCTGTGAGAAAAGAGTTTCTGTCAATATATTACTGAAGTAATACTATGAATATACTGAAAACCTATTCAAGGATAATTGAAATTAGGAGGATAAGAAATACCTCTTGCTGAATTAGAGCTGAAGTAAGAAAAATAGAGGTCTCGTGTCTCTAGTAGAATTGATTAAGTCATCTTTTGGGGAATATTCATCATGTGACAAAATCAAATTACCTGTCATGTCTTTGCTGGAGTCTTGATTTCTCTCAGTTGGTCTTGGGCAGCAATGGAGAAAAAGAAAAAAAAAAATTAGCTGAATCTCTTTGTAAACTCTCAAGCTTAAAGACTCAAATTAAAGCCTGACTTGGGTTTTCTGTTAATCCAGCACATGATTTATTTACTATAAACAATACTGAAGCATGGGAAATGGTTTCCAGAGAACTGAATATGAATTTTCTGGACAACTTGAAAAATGTTTTTTTAATGAAAGACCTGTAGATTGAAATTGTTAAAAGATATTTTGTTTCCAATTTAGGTATCTGGCCTGACAGGATCACTTGGCCTTCTCAATCCAGTCCCAAAACATGAACCACTGAGCTTATGTACATTAATCAAGACTTATGTGTTTAGTGGCTCATAAGGCTTTAAGAGGAACATTTCTTTGCTTTTTAGACACTTAAGCACAAAAACCAGGATGGTTTCTTCTCACTGGTCAAGGGCTTCCCATGTTCAGGTAATTGTGATGGTGAATTGGGTATAGCAAAGCTTAACAGCATCATTTTGTCTATGCAGGTCAGGAAAGCTGTAGAATTTTGCAGGTCATTAAGGAAAAGAAAGCTCAAATACCTTTGATCCCCCTATTTTCTTTGAAAATGTCATCTGAACAAAGAACATAAAGGATGCTCTGAAAAAGGCAAGTATAACTTTCTTTTATAAGTGTGCACCCAAGTTTTAACTGGAGAAGTTTACCCAGAAGACTCAATCAAAGTGGACATGGACATTTTGAAAATGATCTTCTCAGTAGCAACTAGATTAAGAATGAGACATTGTTTCCTGTGACACTGAGAGTTGTAGTGAAAGCCTTATTCTGTAAAATACTAGGATTGTACTCAAGGAGATGGCATGGTTGACTTTGCTTTTAACAATG